TTTTTTTTTTTTTCTTTTTTTACTGTTGATTACAATTATTTTTTCATTCTTTTCGGGTTTCGTCTTCGTTTTGCTCTTATATTTAATGCTACTTTGGGCTACTATAAAAGGGTATTTTTTTACACTCTGTTTTTTCCTCCCTTTTTTTTGGATGTTTTTAAAGAATTAATTTTGTTTCTGGACATTCTTCATTTTTGTTCTGTGAGCTCTGATTAATGGTTTCGTTTTTTGAGTCCAATAAAAAATCCTTTGCGAGTATTGGCTGTTGTTCAGGTTTCTTTTCTCGTTGATGGAATATTTCGGTGCAGCTTTGGTGTGAAAACTCAGTTGCGAAGGAGGGTATACTTCAAACTGATTATATGATTGCACAGGCGTTTATTTCAACTTCGATTGGTACTTGTTTCTTTCTGGGGAGACAGGCAGGACAGTAAAGCTTCGGGTCTAGAAGGGACTAAAAAGATGACTTTCTGTTGCGGAAATTTGTTTTACTGTTTAGGTGGGTCAGAGAATTATGTATTTCGCCAAGTAAGAAGGTTATTTGGAGTGATTATAATCTGTTCAGATACAACTGTCAAGTTATTTAATTTGTCATTTCGGTAGTTTTATTCTATGGTTAGTACAGAGGGTGCAGCATTTGAAAGCTTTTGGTTGTTAATAGATGAATAAATGTTGGAGCTATGTTTATTGTGGAATTGAAAAGGTTTGCAGGGCGGCATGGCAGTAGGCTTAAATTGTTCTGTTGACACTTGTTTTTTATCAGTTATATTTTGTGCGTAGTTGGGAAGAACAGTAATAAACGATTCGTGATATTTTTTGCTTTATATCTGACACTGATTTTCCAGTGAAGAAGCGAAAAAAGATTTTTAGTTCCATTGAATTACTTAGACCGGATTCACTAGAAGGGTTGTTTTTGTACTATCTTGCATGGTGTTGTTAATTTTTCCTGTGAATTAAAAGAGTAACTTCTTTGAGGCATAGAAGCTATTATTACTAGTTTACAACTATTAGGGATTAGTAGTAGGGCCAAATTGGCAGATCGCTTATTTGCATAACATTTGTCGGGAAAATCAGATGCATACAGCTTGTACTGTTAGTTTTTATGATGATTTGACTTGCACTTCATGCTTTTGCTCTTTTGAGTGCCGTTCCAGAAAGTTTCATCTTAAATGTTTCATGTTGTGTTACCACTGTGATGTACATTTAGGATTTCTGAATGACTTCATCTTTTGCAAAAAGTTGCGGAATTTTGCAGTCGCTTTAATGTCGAAATGGCATCAGTAGCTGATGTTGAGGCAGAGCTCTTCTATCCTAGCTTTGTTGTCCAAGCTAAAGTCAGTTTTTGTTCATGCTGATAATTATTCAGCATTATAAAACTTATAAAACAGCATATTTCAAGCTACAAATTTTTAGGCAGCTTTTGGTCTATTAAATGTTCATCTTTTTAACAATATGCTTTTGTTTATTAATTTTCTTATTTCTAGGGCTTTTCTGCACTGCTTAACATATTGTTGAAAGAGAAAGATTTAAAAGAAAAGGTATTATATCATTTAAAATTTCTTTTGCTCTGCTAAGGTCAGGTGTTTGGCGACCAGATTTTTAATCACTGCTTTAAGTATATTGAAAAAGTATTGGTTACTTAGTGGTTAAGGCTGTTAGAAGTGGTGTTCTCATTTTTGTTTACTCAATCTTGCTTTTTATTTTTATTTCTATTTTTTTGTTACTCAACAGTCTTTGTTTTTGAAAGCAGCAAAAACTGTTCTATGGAAACTGCTTCGTAATGGATGTCGAATGTCATCTAGTTGGGTGGCTGAGGTCATCCCAGTTTTGATTTCCCAAGGGATCATTTCTGAGACCGAAATCATTAACGAGTGCCTGTATGCATTTAGCAATAATACCGAAAATGTGCAACCAGTGTCAGTAATCCTATTGCAGACAACAAAGGATATTGTTCAGTAAGCAGTGAACCTGATTTTTTTTAAAGTGCACTTTGATATTTGCTTGGTTAACCTTACATTAATGTCCTGTGTTGTAAAAGACCTGTTTGACGGTCTCTCAAGTTTTCCCATGGGAATTAGCTATTCAAGCTCATTTCGTAAGTGACAAAAATCTTTGAGCAGCAGTTTTTTAAAGTACTTCTGAAGAAGTCAAATTCAAAGACTTTAAAATTTATGGAATGTCACTTCATTATTGCTTGAGTTATTAAGAAATGTCATATATTCCGTAATGTGCAAATTGTCGTCAATTAAAGGTAATTTTCAGAACTTCTTTACAAGCTATTCCTCTTCTCCCAGTGAACAAACAAAAAATTTTTTTAACCAAGTTGGCCCAAATCTCTATCTCCAGGTATGCTTCCCCCTAATTTTTACTGTTCTGTAAAAGAATTTCAGGGTTTCACAAAGCGATTTTAATTCCATCTGTCAGGTTTATTCGTTATTTGGACTAGTTTCTGGAGGTTTATTTTTTAGATGTTTCGGTAGTATAATCCGCCTGATATTAGGTGATGAGATCTTTGAGACGGAGAAACAGCTGCTTTTACAGTATGTAGTGAAGTGTGGGAAGCCATCGCAGTTAGAAGCAGCTTTACGGACTCTTTCTTCAGAAAGTTTTGTCACAGTTGATATCATACCGGAGTCTCCCTGGAGGAATCACTGGTTGCTCACATACAGCGGTGAGAATACATCTATCATTCGATGGCCACGCATTTAGGTTTAAAAGTAAATCTTTTTTTTGATCTTTAATAATCTTTTTCATTTTCAGAGGATGAAAATTTGCTTGCGACCTTGAATCTTGGTTATTCTAGCTGTGTTTTCACGCTTTGCGAGCGATTAATATCAGGCTCTTACAAATGTTGCATTGAGTTAGTGAATAATCCGACGTTTCCTGTACATCCAGTTTTTATCTATAGTCTTCTTACTCTTTACGCATCATTTTCTGAATGGCAAAAAAACCATTCTTTTGCTTCTGCTCTATCTCTGAAACCTGAAGGCGGTGCTGAAGGCTCGTTGCTGCGAATACTAAGCAGGCTTAGTAGCCTGATTGCGAAATCGCAGTCCTGCCACTCAGGTTATTCTTTTTGTGGTTCTGGAGAAGATCAAGGGAACCTTGGTTACTTCGAATGGATTTCGAATTCCGAACAGCGAAGGCGTACTTTCATAAAGGTTTACTCCAGATCAACAGAAGGATTTAATTAATTTTTTTGTTTGGTTGGCTTTTGATCTGTTTTTGTTGAAATATACGATAAAATTGATAGCGGCTTTTAGGAAGCTCATTCTCTCGTCAAAAATTACCCTTTTTCAGATGTGGTCTGCAACTTGTGGGAAGTGTTTAAGTAGTCTTCATGTTAGTTTTGCTATGGGGTTTGTTCCTTTTTTGAAAGATGATGAACTAGATGACTTCTTAAACTTATTAGCGATGTTTGTTAATTTGGATGTACATCTGGTAGGCTTTTTAAAAACTTCTAAAACTTTCGTCTGCCACCATAAAGTTTGTATTCTCTTTAGCTTCTCAAATGCATCCGGCAGTTTAAACCTATTATTTACGTTTGTCGACGGTCAAAGCTTTATTTATTCTTTGGTGCTTTTGAGCCGTTTCTTTGACTTTTTTCAAAATTCGAAAAGTGATTTTTAAGGCTGACAGTATCTTGTTATCTTCGCTGCAGTTTATGAAGAAAAGTGATATAACTAGAAAAAAGTTTTTGAACTGGCTGCATCATCTTGCTGTCAGTAAGGTTGGATTTGTTCGACATGTGTTTCATTAGTAATTTGGCCATTGTGGGTAATCTGCTTTCTTTTTCAACTATGATATGTCTTTGTTCGGTACGAACGGAGATGAGTAAGAACGGCACAAAAACTTAAGAGTTTTATGGTTTTTTGGAGCCTTAATTCTCACATTTCTCTTCTTAATGAGGTCGTTCAAAGATTAGTCGGTAAGATTTCTGCTTTAGTCGTCCGTTGTGAGTAAGTCGAGACTTGGTTTTAGTCTACTCATGGATCAGTGCTCAAGTTATTATTAACTATTGCCAGTGGGGAAGAACTTTCAGACCGACTGGTAGCTCTTGAGTCTCTCAGGAAGTTGTGGAATTTGTCTAGGTGGTCCTTATTCGATGACTTCTCTGATATTATTAAATTAGACTTAAGCAAAGATTCGCCACAAATATGTACAGCGAAGTTTGCACTCATACGTAGCATTTGTCTGACAAGGTAAACGTCGTCATGTCATCATGTAACTTAATTTCTTTTATCTACAGAAAGTTAAATGTTATTTTTAAAAACTTAGCTTTAATTTTTGCGAAAATTTCAATTCCTATTTGGTTTCTGAATATTCTTTAGCGATCGCGCGGAAGACCTGCTTCCGATGCTGTCGAGCATGCTGAGGAGTGATTGTCCTCATTTCGCTAATGCTGTTAAGGCTGTTTCAGAGTTGTGTCGGGCACGGGTACTACGTTTCATTTAGTTATAACATTTATTCTGTTTGATGTTTTTAGACCACTTTTTCGTTTTTGAAACAACCTATCATATTGGTTTCTTTTTTGTATTTGTGTTTGCAGAAGAGTCTATGTGAACAGTTTTTTTCCCAAATTCTAATTTTTAGATTCTGGACTTAATGCCAGTGCTGCAGCTTATCTCACCATTAATTTTGCGTTCGTGCGGAGCAGATGTTCTCCGGGCGTATATTGAGCTTTTGAGCGTTTCATCTTTAGTCGTCGAAGAAGAAGTAAATTCACGATTTCG